GATTTCATTACGATCCGCGACATTAACTATTTTACATACGTATTATTTATAATTTCGATATTTTTATAATTTTCGTTTAACCAATAAAATCTTTATGATACACGGGATGATCTACAAAATTTGACCAATCACTATGAATGCCCGCTATAGCTAGATTACTGGATTTCCGTAAACAATGGGTGATACGATGATCACAGAGATGTTGAACCGGACCGTCTTTTAAACGGTCCCGGTCCAGGACCGGTCTGGATCGATCTTTTGAAGGACCCAATACAACCTTGGTATTGTAGCGAACATATTCACTTAGAATCATGCAAACGTCTCGCTCATCGTTGATTATCAATTTATTAGGGCGGTAACAATAAAATATGCTGTGAAACATTTATTATAAAACGCACATATGGTGGTTTTGCACCTATTATATGTTTTTATATATTTTTTTCAAGTTTTATAAGTTTTTTATATAAAAATTTTAGCTCAAATTTTTCCTGTTAGGGTTAGTATTTAGTGATAGAATTAAAGTTTAGGAAGGCTTTGGGGGGACGTAGAGTCTTTTTACTTAGAGTATCGCATATTAATTAAGTAGCCAGTTTGTAAGATAATGCAACATAGGTGGTAAATACCGGTTGTCAAATAACCACATATTTTTAAATAAATTACCCAAAAATTCTCTTACATGTACGTTTGCGAATTTTCTTATTGCGTTACACTGCACGGGCCAGATCAGCTCTGCTCTGCCCTGTTCGGTTATGGAACAAATAAGAACACGAGAATAGATTATATGTACAACTTTTTCAATTTTCGTTAGTGGATTTCCTTTTTTAGACGACTTTTCGATAAAATCGATAAAAACAAAAAATAATACACAAAACCAATAGAAATTTAGATTATACATGTACGTTTTGTGTTAATCAATTCTATATCTGGCAATGTTCAAGATTGCAATATATCTTAAATACAGTACATAAATTTGATGCTTCTTATACGTAGCACATTCTTTCTTGCATCGAAATGTCAATTTACAACAACCTAACTGAAAAACAGCCGGAAAACATCACCAGTGCATCAGATATTACTCAGATAGCCAACAATATTGTCCAATTGTATATAGAAGGAAATAATTCACAGAATTTTTCACAGGAATTTCTTATCAAAATTGATAAAGAGATAAGTAATCTGTTTAAAGAAGTAAGATTAGATGGCGGATATCTAGCTTTGTTTATTGATACATTAGAACAACTTCTCATAAATAAGAAGCAAAACCCGGATAATTTTATCAATTTTTGCTTAAATGATCAAATAAATCCTATAGCTCTACCCGTTCTTGCAGCTTGTTATTTTTATGGTAAATTTGTTGAAAAGGACGAACGTAAGACATTTATTTATTGTCAAAAATCTGCAGAGATGGGTGATTCTTATGGAATATTTGCAGTTGGATATTGTTATCAGAATGGAATTGGAGTTGAAAAGGATGAACGTAAGGCATTCATTTATTATCAAAAGGCTGTAGAGATGGAGTGCGCTGGTGGAACATACTATATTGGATTTTGTTATCATAATGGAATTGGAGTCGAAAAGGATGAACATAAGGCATTCATTTATTATCAAAAATCTGCAGAGATGGATAGTGCTTATGGAAAATATATGGTTGGAGATTGTTATCAGAATGGAATT